TTAATAAAATAAAATTTTGCTTGAGCTCATTTCAACTATAAGCTATAGGGAAAAAAATTGACAAACCAAAATAGCCTTTAAAAGTTCAAATGTGTATAGTTGCTATATTTTTCATGAAAAAGGCATTATTTTTTCTTCTATTTTTCATTTTATTTTTAAAGTACAATTTCCTTTCAATACTATTTTGTATTAGTTTTAATGTGTACAGCATAATGGGTAGACAAGCAAATGCTTGCAAAGTTATTTCTCTGATATTTCAAGTACCCAACTGGCACCAAACATAGTTTTTACAAATTACTGACTATATTGCTTATACCAGTGATGGCGAACCTATGACACGCGTGTCAGAGGTGACACGCGAACTCATTTTTTTGGTTGCTTTTTCTTTGTTAAATGGCATTTAAATATATAAAATAAATATCAAAAATATAAGTCTTTGTTTTACTATGGTTGCAAAGATCAAAAAATTTCTATATGTGACACGGCACCAGAGTTAAGTTAGGGTTTTTCAAAATGCTGACACGCCGAGCTCAAAAGGTTCGCCATCACTGGCCTATACTGTACATCCCTGTGACTATTTTTGTAACTACCAATTTGTACCTCTTAATCCTTTCACCATTTTCACCCATTCCTAACCCCCACTTCCCTATGGCAACCATCAGTCTGTTCTTTGCAACAGTTTCTACTTTACATATTCATTTATTTTGTTCTTTAGATTCCACCTATAAGTGAAATAATGAGTCGTTTATCTTTGTCTGACTTACTTCACGTAGCATAATGCCTTCTAGGTCCATCTGTGCTGTTGCAAATGATAAGATTTCATTCTTTTTTATGGCCGAGTAATATTCCATTGTGTAAATGTGCCACTACTTTTTATTCACTTGGGTTGCCTCCATATCTTGGCTGTTTAAATAATTCTGCATGGAACATAGGGGTGCATATATCCTTTCAAATTACTGTTTTGGGTTTCTTTGAATATTTACCCAGAAGTTGAATTACTGGGTCCTTCTTTGTCTCTTGTTACAGCCTTTGTTTTAAAGTCTGTTTTTTTTCTGGTATAAGTATGTTTTGAGTCCCTTTTATGTCTGTTTTCTAATGTTGTTTATGTGTAGTTTTTCTACTTTTTCTTAGGCAGTGCCTATTTTAATTACTTTTCAACACCTACTACTTGGATTTATTAATTTTCCTTAGAAAAAGTGCTACCCCGTCCAAACCCTCATTTTTGCATAAATAGTGTCTTAGTCCACTCAGGCTGTTATAACAGAAAACCATAGACTGGGTGGCTTATAAACAACAGAATTTACTTTCCACAGCTCTGTAAGCTGGGAAGTCAAAGATCAAGGCACCCACACTTGGTGTCTGGGAAGAGCCCCTTCCTGGTTCTTAGGTGTCTTTTTGCTGTGTTCTCACGTGGCGGAAGGGACAGAGGAGCTCCGTGGCATCTCTTTTATAAGGGCACTAATCCCCCTCATTAGGGCTCCACCCTCCTGACCTAATCACCTCCAAAAGGCCCCACCTCCAAATACCATCACATTGGGGACCTGGTTTAAACCTGAATTTGGGGGAACACAAATATTCAGTCTATAACAAATAGTATAGGCTTTTAATAAATAAATGCTATGCAGTAAGCAAAAATGATTCATCTGCAAAGCCATCACCCTGAGAATACCCCCTAGGCCAGTCTCTGAAGGACCGCAGGGAGGAAGACCACAATGGCCATTGCTTGTCAAAGACCAGTTTCTTCATACACGGGGATGCCTCCCAGACCAGCTGAGATGTGAGTTGAAACGCCTTTTCACCCCTACAAGGAGCCTGCTGCTCATGTTTGCCATCCACAGAACTGTGCTAATACAGTCTATTTCTGGAGAATGGAGCAGAGATTGACTGCTTGTTCATGATAAATCAAGGGTACTTGCTTTGCCTGTTGCATGCCCAGTTTTTTTGTTTTGTTTTGTTTTTGTTTTTAGAAGCAAGCCTTGGGAGTTATTTTTCGATCAAATTCTAACTCTCATGTTAGACCTTATAAAAGAGAAAAGTAAAATTTATTCATGATAAACACTGAGTTCTAGCCATCATAAATCTTATCAATTGCCTTGTGAAGTTTAGCAAGAAAAAAATTTTTTTAATTCACATTGTGCTCATTCAACCTTAGATTTAGACTAATGCTACTCCTACTGTTGCAAACTGTTCTGGAATTTCCATGGTTGGCACAGAAGAAATATAAGGGAAGATAAAGTTGGGAACCTAAGGAGATACTTAATTGATGAATATTGCTCTATAAAGAAATTGCCAGTACTCTGGCCGGTGCTCCTCAGTGGTTAGAGCTCGGCCTGTGCACCAAAGGGTCTTGAGTTCCATTCCTTCCTCCTTCCCTCCCTTCACTCTCTCTGAAAAGCAATGGGAAAAATATCCTCAGGTCAGGATTAACAAAACAGGGAAAAAAGGAAATGACCAATAACTATTCAATAAAGGAAATAGTTTTATGTTACTAGTTAATATGAAATGTTAGAAAGACATTTCCTTTTTTCTTTATTTTTCTTGGAAGCCAGCCAGATTAACCAAAGTGATCTTACTAATACCGAACTCTCCGTGCTGGTATTTAGAGTGAGTCACTCCCACAGACACAAAGTGCACAGTGAGCTTTTGGGACAGGGCTTCAGGGAAGGTGCTTGGTACCCGATACACCCTCCATATAATCTTTTGGTTAATGGCTTGAAAGGAGATATAATTTCTCCTGAAAAAAATTCATTAAGAAAAACGCAAGATATATTTATCTAAAATGTGAGCCAACATATAACCATTCTCCATAGGGTAAAATGTATACTTTTGAACAAACAATTCTTCAGTTTCAACAGATATTTCTTAGTGTTGGTTCTGTGGTCATGTTCACCCAAAATTCAACATGAGCGCATAGTGTGGCTGAACGTGAACTAGAGCAGCGGTCGCCAACCGGTGGTCTGTGAGGTCTGAAAGGTTGGCGACCGCTGAACTAGAGGGCCTGCTGCCAGGTCTGTCCGTGTGCTTGGTTCACATGTGTTTTGACACCTTCGTTAGCCTTAGGGAGAAGTGTTTGAAAGAGGCCAGAAGCTCAGGGACAGGCATGCATGCTCTCTGGGTAAGTGTGTCTTCCTACTTATTTCTGAAGTCACTTGGATGCCCTTATCTATCAGCATTTCATCTGGCCTGAAATTTCCCTAAAATAATCGCCTTTGGGAATAGGAATGAAGTTTCTTCTCTTCCTTTATTTAATCACTTTTAAGGACATCTAGTAACAGGTTAAGGAGTGAGCAAGCTGGTAAAAAGCAATTCTGTAGGAGATAGCAAAATATCACTGAATTTCAACAATAAAGATTAAATTTATATGTATACAGATATTTATATCTATACCTGTATAGATATAGATATCTATATCTCTACCTATATCTACATAGAGAGATGAGAGAGAGAGGAGAGAGAGAGAGAGAGAGAGAGAGAGAGAGAGATATCACTGCAATAGCACTGGGCGGGTGGCTCATCTCATATATCAAAACATTGCAGGTTCAATCCTCCTCAGTCAGGTCGCGTATGAGAGCTAACTGATAAAAGTTTCTCTCTTGCAACAGTGTTTACCTCTCTCTCCCTTTCCCCCTCTCTCTCTAAAAATCAGTAAGCACACCTTTGGGTGAGTATTAAGAAAACTGTATCACTGAAGTAACTTAGTAATGTGATGCCAGTTAATCATGTTTTCACTCATGATGCCCTAGACAGTGATGGTGAACCTATGACACGCATGTCAGAGGTGACACGCGAACTCATTTTTTTGGGTTGATTTTTCTTTGTTAAATGGCATTTAAATATATAAAATAAATATCAAAAATATAAGTCTTTGTTTTACTATGGTTGCATATATCAAAAAATTTCTATATGTGACACGGCACCAGAGTTAAGTTAGGGTTTTTCAAAATGCTGACACGCCGAGCTCAAAAGGTTCGCCATCACTGCCCTAGAATGACTCTTGTTCTGCATGTGGTGAAAGACCACCTAGAACAGAAATGTAAAACCAACCACAAACAAACAAAGGGAAAGCTCTCTCTTTAGAGTCAACCTTTCACTGTCACATAGTTTCTCGATGTCTGTGCAAGTGGCAGGAGCAGCTGCAGCCCGGGCCGAGCCTGCCAGCTGACAGTTGGCCGGAGGTGGCAGCCACCAGCTGAGATTTGGAGGCTGCATTGGGGTTGGGGTCCATTTGATTGCTGCAATGATCCATCTTTAATTAGGCCTTTCAAGAAGTTGTCTAGTTTAGAAAACTGCTTGTAATAAATTTACTCTTTGATCACGAAGAGGTACATTATTTTTAGCAGAAGATCATTTTTACCTCAGTGACATTAAATAAATATGGAACAGACACGTTTATTTAGTGATTTAAAGGAATTCCTCATTTTTAATCCTTGTCAGATCCTATTTGATGAAATGTACTTTTTCTCAATTCCACTCATTTTCTCTTTTTTACAGATGTGTGTGTGCCTACAACACACACACACACACACACACACACACACACACACACTTTTCCCCCAGTCCTCACTAAGTGTTGCAAGACAATTCTTGAAAAAAAAAGGGGGGGTTGACAGGGAGGTAGCAGTGTCTGCACCCTCTCCTCCTGTTGTCTGCTGTCTGCAGTGCACCCCTAGGACCATTGAAACCGGGGTTCTCCCGATGCCTGTAAACAAGGCTTCCTCTCACAGAACAGCCACGGTTGCTCCATGCTCCAGAAGCCTGCCAAGCAGGCAGCGTGACTTCCTCCTCTAATGGGCCCCCACTCACTCACCAATAAGGACATTCAACTTTCAACTAAAGATGTACCATTTCACTCGTTTCTGTCTCACTGCATCCCTAGCCATTCTGGGGGAAATTGTCTGTGAATATTAACATTTCAATGCTGTGAGGCAACAAAAATATCTGTAATGCCCCAAAACATGCTCCATCGTCCCCTAAGTCAAGACAAAATCCAGGAAACTTACTTCGTATTGTGTGTGCCTGGGGAGTTTTTCAGGCTGAGCAACAGAACCAAACTGGAGCTGCCTCGCGTCCTGCGTCCAGGAATGCTAGGCAGAGAACATTCTTTTTCAGAAGGCCAAGTTTGGAAGTCGCCTGGTCTCTGGCAGGGAGGCGGGGGAGGAGATGGCGAGGGAGGGGGAGCCAGCACAGCGAGTCCCCCAGCTGCCGGATCTTCAGTTTCCCAGTGTTTCCTAATAGCCGTCAATGAAAGCGTCTCCTCTTACCAGGCCGGGCAGGTAGACAGACAGCTGAGTCCATCAGCCGGGATGCCACAGGAAGCGCGGTCACAGGGAGGAGGGGCTGCAGGGCGGGGGCCGAGAGCCTGCCATTGGTGAGCTCGCCCCAGTCATCTGCCAGTGGGACTTGGATGGAATGTGAAACCAAATCATTTTCAAGTTAAAGATAGACACAGTGTGCGCCCGGCTCGGAGGCTGCGCGGGGAGCTCCCATCTCTCCCTGAAGGTGGGAGACTTCTGGGAGGGTCTCCGTTGCAAGTAACAGTTTGGTTCAAGTTTACTTTTGAAGCGAAGGTGCTGAGAATTCATCTCTTGCTGGACGTCCTGGAATCAAAAGGATTTAAGAGATCCCGCGGTCCCGGCCCGGGGTAAGTAGGAAGGACTGGTGTTAAGGAGCGCCTCTTCTCTGGGAAGGTGAATGTTGAAGTTTTCTTCTTATTTGTGTGAATGAAAAAGTGGTGGTGAAGATTTCCTAGCATAGGAACTTTCTTACCTCCCCTGAGAGAGCAGGCATTTGACGTTTGGCGCGGAGGGGACTGGGGCTGAGTTTTGAAAGTTGCCTTGCACGCCTGGAACTTCACGCTGCGATACCCTCACTTTTCCCTCCGCCGGCGCCCCCTGAGTCACCTGCTCTTCCTAAGTTAGTGTCAGTAGTCCGAGCTCACCACGCCGACTGTTACCGTGTCCACGCCGCCACTGTCTTACTGTTGTGAGATGGAGTTTTCCCCTTGCAGGGCACCATGTATGGCACTTCCTAATTAAAAAAGAAAAGTAAAGAAGGGGAAAGCGTGGTTGAAGGTGCATAAGGAGCCTTCAGATGATGTTCTGTTTTTCCCAAAAACAAACGAGAGAAAATAGGCATTTTTCCATGGAAGAGAACAATTCATTAGTGGGAGTTATTTTTCGGTGTCGCCTCATTAATTCCCAGTGGATCCTCCTCCTCTCTCCATCCCCCCTTCCCCGCCCCCCCCCTCCAGAGTTGGCCTTTGCTGAGTGCAGGGAGGCCTCCTGGGTGCACAGGCTGGGAAATGGAGGGGGAAGAGCTGTCTAGTGGGCTATTGCCACACTGTGTTTTAAGGATTTCAGAACTTTTTTCTTGGGAAAAAAAAAAGAATGACAAACTTCAGTTTCCCTTTATGTTTTGACCATGTATAGGTTGGGTCTCTTGTTTTGTCAAGTGGCCTCTCAGCTGGGCTCTTGAGACAGCGTTCCCAAAGGTGCTCGGCGTCCTGTCAGGGCAATGCTGACCATGAGCCAGGGGCGTGGTGTGGGCTGGAGGCGCTCCTTTCTGTGGGGAAAAGAACCTGCTGGCCTTCTCCTTGCAGAGTGTGGGGCTGACAGGTCATTCAGTGCCACCCGCTGGGTTTTGTTCTGCCCAATACACTGGGTTCTAATGAACTGAGTTGGTTAAACTATTCAAACAATGAATGACTTCATGTGGATGTCTCACTCAACTTTGATAGGAATAACTAATACACTGTTCTGCTTCTAAAATGAAAAGTGAGCCTTATATTGATAGGGTCACTGGATTTTACAACTGAATAATCAAGCCAGACCAGACAGGATGTAAAGTTGTCAGAGCTCGGTTTGGGTGCCCTCTCCGTCCTTCCTTCCCTCTACCTCTCTCCCCCTCTCCCACCGCCTCCTCCCTCCCAACCCCTAATGAATATCACTGCTAAACACCCGCCTTGTCTGGCAGCAAAGACCTACCTTCAAGGGAGAATCATGGGACAGTAGAGTGTTCTACTAGTAAAGTCAGTGCACTAGTCCATCAGGAATATTTGCATTTCAATATAAATACCTAACCTCAAATCACAGTGAACCTTTCCCAATACTTAAAGTGAACTCATTAGGTTGTAAAAGTTGAAGTTAATGTTCATGTCTATGCAAATGGATGGTCTCTTTGAAAATTGTCCCTGGCAACATTGAACATCGGTTCTTCTTGCTTTATCCACGTGTGTCCTGAACTGTTGACAATAGTGGAAACCTGTTAGTTTTCACCACGTGTGTGCTCACAACACACACAAGTACACACCCAAACACTTAAATGTAGACTTACCTTTTCCTTAACTGATATATTTCTGATTGAAATATAAATATAATTAGAATAGGCTTAATTAGGATAGGCTTAAACCCGAATATAGGGTTTTATTTTATTTTCAGTGTGTCAAAAGAAAAGGAAGACAAGTATAAAAGTTTTTAAATTCTAAAAATGTAAGCATTTTAAACTATGTGGCCAAATACTGTTGACAGGAAAATGGGGCAAATGAATATTTCTCTGCAACTATTACGTCACTCATAGTTTCTAGTTCCCTGTTGAAATTTTCAAGCTGGGATTTTATTTCTTTGGATATAGTTTTGTAATATATGTCTGCTAATTCCAATATCTCAAGTGTTACTGGGTTATTATTGTTCTTGTCAGTTCTCACTTATGGTGTCTTATTTTCTTGATTGCTTGGATATTCTTGATCATCTGCTGGAAACACATTTAAAAAAAGATTTTTACAAATAAGTTGAGACCTAGTGGTGATGACATTTTCCTCCAGAGAAGACTTGCTGTGCTGCTGCCAGGCACCTGAGGGCAGTGTCAGGCCAGAGCCATGTTAGTCCAAGTGCTGCCCCTAAGGTTCCTCAGTTACTCCTGTGCGGGAAGTGGGGCTGCAGATCTGAGTGATGACTGGCTTATTTGGGGTTCCCTCTTCCCTGAAGGAAGATATGGCCTTAAAGTTGGGTTTGTTTACTCAAGTGCTCACCTGCAGACCCGGCCGGACTGTGGGCTTTGATATCCCTGGGAAACCCATGAGGCTGCCCAGAGTACAGCTGGTTTCTGGGACCTTTTGTTCCTGGTACTCATGTGCCCAAGGGCAAAAGCTTTCAAAGAGGAGCTTCCCTCTCTGAGTTCTGGTCTTTTCAATTTCCCTGTGTGAAGTCTCCACCTTCCTATTGACTCTTTGCTGTTTTCATACTTTAAATATGTTTAGTTACTTCAGTGGGAGTATCAGCCCATATTATTTCATTACTGTTACCAGAAATGGAAATTCACTCTGCTGTTTTTATAATCTTTTTTTTTTTACACTCATTCTAGAGAAGATATCAGGCAGTCTGCTGATATCATTGATGATTTCAGGGAGTTTTTCTGACTAAGTTTAGTTTTTATCTGATCTGTTTAGGCATTTTGGAGAAATTTGCAAATGCATGCCTATTGGAAGATTCATGTTTTCCAACCTTATTTGAGCTGTCAACAATACTTATCAGCCCTTTCATTTGTCCCTAGCTGGCCCCTCTCTGCAGTAATCTCTTTAGTCTCTCTAATCCACCCCACTGCCATCAGTCTCAGCTGTTCACCTTGTCTCCTCCTGCTTTCTCTTGGCCTATATACAGTATCACCACATTTAAGGAATTACCTTAAAGAAATGCTTTTCTTTCCATCCTCTTTGCAGTTGCTCTCTTCAGGTCGTTGCCATCTCACTTGGTGTTACTGTGGTCATCCAGGTGTAAACCTGACTCTCCCCTCTCCCCAACACATCTCCCACACTAGGATTATTTGTGCTAATCTTTACACTTGTTTTAAATGTCACACCTATCTTCTGAAAATCATAGACATGACTGAATTGCTCCCCTACTTAAAAGCTCCAGTGGCTCACCATTCTCTCCAGATAAACCCCTTAGTGTGTCTTAAAGGCCTGCCACAAAGCCGTGACCTGTTTCTCTGGCATCATCTCCACTTCCCTGGTTATCACCAACACTTTGCTGGCACATGATTGCTGCCTCCAGAATATTCTGCACACTGTCATACCTCTGAGCTAGTCTAGCATGTTTTTCTTCCAGAATTCCCATTTTTCATCTTCTTTGTGGGAAAATCCTACTTCTTCAAGGTGGATCTCATCAGTCACCTTCACTGTGCGTTCTTTAACTGTATAGCTCACCCCCATTCTGGGAGCCCCTGATGGCAGGAATCCTGTCTTACTCATTTTTGTATTCTCAGTAATTGACATAGAAAGCATCCAAACTGTGCTTAGGGAATGAACAAATGACAACTTGAGAAAGTTTTTCCTCAGCCATTCCTCTTTTACTTTATTCTTTTTCTTTCTAAACATCATGATTCTTTGACTTTAGACTCTTTGCCAAGAATAGCAATCATTAATGGTCCTCTATATCAACCAGAACTAGTTGAAAACATGTTTGGTTATTGCTATTTTCTGAAGGAGGAGGTTATCTATTTCCATTTTTACCAAAGGAGACTGTATAACTCAATTGTGATGGCAAAAGAGATGATAGCCCTGGCCCAGGTGCCGCCGTTGGTTGGGAGTCATCCCTTGCACCTAAGGTTGCCAGTGTGACTCCCAGTCTGGACGCCTGCCCCGTTGTGAGCTCCATCCCCTGTAGGGGTGTGCAGGAAGCAGCCTATCTATGTTTCTATGTTTCTCTCTCCCTCTCTCCTCTCCTCTCCTCTCCTCTCCTCTCTCCCTCTTTCCCCCCTCCCTCTCCTACTCCCTCTCCCTTCCTCTCTCTCTAAAAAACCAATAAAAATTTTTTAAAAAAGATGATAGAAATTTACATATGATAAATTAGCTATATATTTTCAGAGATTCATAGTCAAAAAGAAAGTCATAGAGTTTGGAAAACTGACATGTTTCAACAGATCTGGTCCATAATGCTGAATAGTGTAAGATTGGACTCACTCAAGGAATTAGGCGAGCACAGTGAGCAAGTAAGAGGGGACTTTATTAGAGGGAATGGGGGGATGGAGCCACAACTGGAGGTTAGGACGCAGCCTCCGCTGCCCTTGGGGTTGAATTTTATGCGCCAAAA